GCACCTAATCGCTGCAGAAACACATTGGTATTCAGCACCTGCTATCACGAGGGGCATCCATGCTTGCGCGAGCGAACGCGAAGATCATGACTATCAGTGTAGAGGACGTCTTTGAGAGGGAGATTCAGACCTTGGACGACCTACGTCGAGACATCCTGCTACTCACGATTGCAAACGCAGATTACAGGATCGGAGAAACGCACCACTTTAAATCTACCATGAAGGGCGTATCACTGTCCTCGGACGAACACGCCAAGTACGCCGTGTTGGGCCATATCTCGACTCTTCTAGGTGCCAGACACCCGCAAGCCCATGGTCCTTCCGCCTTGGATTGCAACGCAGTCTCTGGACGGATTGACCCTCATGGCGCCACCATCGTCTGTTCTCTTGCGGAAACAAGTCCTTCAGAGAATGCGGAGACAGTCGTCCGCAGAGCGGTAGTCAACGCTGACGAAGGAAAGAGGGTGCTAGAGGATTGGTCGACTATCGAAGACCCGTACGTTGCGACAGCGCACTTATTCTTCGCCACGCTACAGACACATGTTGATACTCTACCCCGTTTTGTCCTAGGTCGGAGGATCAGTTTGTTGACGTCCATGTCTCGCAGGTCGCCAGCATCCTCGCACACGCGTGGAGGTTGGATCGCTCTCAGCGTATGAAAGGAGAATTGCTGCGTAACTTCCAGCTCTTCATGATACGGCGCGCTCGATCTAAGATCCTCGCTCGTCTTGACAATATGATCAACCTCTGGGGTGGGTGTCCGATAGAGATCATGCAGGATTGGTACAAGACCCATCCGGACGTCGTGCAAGCGTCGACTGTCCGTTTCCCGCGCCTGGCTCGCACGGCGAGTTTCGCAACTCTCTTGACTGAACATTCCCTTCAGCCTCTACCAAATCGCCCAGACGACTATCCGATATCGTCCACAAACATCCAGTCCTGGCTTGAAGCACTGAAGGACCCCCTTACTCGCATCGTGGAAGCGTTGGGGGATACGACGGTCCCTCCCTCTGTTCAACAGACTAAGCTCGCACATATGGCCAGCTATCACCTCTTTTTCTTCCTGCGATCGAATTTATGTCAAGTCTTGCAAAAGCATGGCGTCGTTGAGGCACTGATGGACGCCTATGGAGATCATGGTGAGTGCCGCAATATGGTGACATTGCTGCCGTTCTCACTGTTTCGGTAGATAAAGAGGCGAAGGCTTTGAAAGCCAAGAAGGCCTGGAAGGCTACCCAGGGATTCGAAATCGAGACATTCCAGCATGCCCAGAATGTCGATACTGAAGAAGCGGTTCGAGAAGCTGAGACTGTCATGGAGGCTGAGAACGTCGACGAGGCAGGGCAGGGTTGGATGTCTCTTGAAGATAGTATCGACCGAGGTATGTTGATTGCCTACTTACTTGACAGAGGACAGTTCTCTGACGGTCGCTCAGAGCCTGCCTATATCGATGAAGACCTGGACGACGATGGTGAGTCAATGCATCACTGCCGTTCGCTCCCAATGCCCACTTCCTCCATTCCCCAGCATCATCCCAGCCTGAGGAAGACGAGGATGCGGTCCAACACCTTTTCCGTTACCTACAAACCATCACGGCTTGGAACACAGCCGTAGTATCCCTGATGAGCACCAGAGGTGTTCTCTCGGAGCTGAACGTCTTCATTCTCAAGACTTTTCCCCGGATTGATGTCACCTTGGCTGACATTGAGAAGCCCATCAGCCGCTATGAGGCCTTGCTGCGTGAGGGTCTACGCGCCAATTATGAGGGAGCTGCGTATGGAGAACGCCTCGGAGCCATCACAGCTCGGATGAACGACGTCAAACGACGCCTTCGCCTCAATGAGAAGAACGTTCAACAGGGTCAAGGCACTCTGACATGGGTTCGGGACCGTTTCAGGGTTCACGCGGAAGCTGCTCTCATGAGTCTTGCCTGGTCATACAGCGAAGGTGCAACTCAGGCAGTGGACGGTGTCGATCTCGACACGCTCTTCCCAGTACGTTCTCTATTTTCTACGATGCGAGCGTTCCTGCAACATTGACGTTTGTGTAGCAAGAAGGCAGTGTGATCATCGGGGTCAGCAAGAAATGCTGCTGGTGTTGCCACGCCCTGCGTCAGAGCCTGGAAGGTCATCTTTCGTTCGTGCTTCCCGGGACCCATGCGGTTATACTCCCTTGGCTGCCCCCGCCAGGCGTTCGTGAAAGCGTACTGGTGAAGATGAGAGAAGCTCTGTTTGGCATTCTCCATGCTCGGGTCTGCAAGCCCGGATCCGACCATCCCTGCAACCCATTGTCCCCTGTGGACGACGATGAGTCCTCCGAAGACGTGATTCATTCCGTAATCCTGCGTGACCTTGACGCACAGGATGCTTCACTTTCTATCTGAACACGCGGGCCGCTCAAGCTACAGAGGATTTTCGCAGGAGACGTAGGGCCCGGGCATCTGCGTAGCCGCGAACGGGACGCTTGCAAGGTGTCTTACTTACCGTATGGATTAAGTTGGTGCGCGATCGTCAGAGTGCATGAGGTAGATTGTCAGCTTAGCGGTTCTTACATGCCGCTAAGCCACCTTGTCAACGGTAATTGCTCAGACGTGCGCGGTTTGCAGAGTGGCAGACATCGGGTCGATGTCCGCGCGAGATCGTCCCAGGCTTCGTCGTGCAATTTGGGCATCCGGAGACGCTCCGCCACGGGAACGGTGTTGTACGCGCCGTCCTCTAGACCGCTCGCAGCCGGGAATCTTATATTGCTGATTGCGGACAAAAATCTTCATCAACTATTTCTCTCGGAGGCTGGGCATGTCCAGTGCAAGGATGATGTTTTTCAACAGTTGAGGTGGCATGCATGTTATCGTCGTTTTGTCAGGGTCAGCTTGCATGTCGACGGTGGTGGCAGAAGGAGGAACGGCACGTCCAGGTTAATTCCATGAACGCGACTTTGTCGAATCGCAGATCGCCGCATCGCGAGGGGTAGATCTCGATCTATCACGTGAGCGTCCTAATGCCAGTCCTCGAGTCCTCTGTCACACACCCACTCGCTCGTCCCTCGACCTCGACGTGACCGCGCTCGACGCTCGATTTGCGACGGTGTGAACGGGACAGGTATCGTCTGTGCAACACTTTGAGCTGTGGGCTGCGACCAAGTGAGTGTCTCCCGAATCCTGCCGCGTACGGCTGAACCGCAAGCGTCTCATTCGGAATACCTGAACCAATAGCCTCCGCCCGGCCAGGCCAGAACTCGCTACTCCCCCAACCTCCTTGTCACCCCACAGCCAACGTCTCCAGTGTAGGCCGCCATGAGCACTGCACCCGTCACGGATCCCGAAGTTCTGCTCGATGCCAATGGCATGCCCATCGAGACGTGGGGCGGCAAGTTTGAGCGCAAGTTCAAGGAGAACCCATTCGTACCCATCCGTAAGTGGCGCTTCTTCACTCCCCTCATCTCTCTGACAATCCAACCGTGCCTCACACGACCCTCTCGCTTTCGTTCCACCGTGCATCCGATATTCCGACAGTGGCCGGCCTGACCACGGTCTCGCTCATCGTCGCCGCCTCGAAGCTCCGGCGGCGCGACAGCGTCTCCATGAACCACTGGCTGCGCGTCCGAGTCGTCATGCAGGGCCTCACCATCTGCGCCGTCGTCGGCGGCTCCTGGTGGTACGGCCAGATGAAGCACCAGAAGGAGGCCGCCGCCGCCGCGGAGAACGAGCGCGTCCTCGAGCGCGCGGCGTTCGAGGCCCGGCTGCGCGCCGCCGAGGAGGCGGACCGCATCGAGAAGCTCGAAGAGGAGATCCATGCGCGGGGAGAGGTGCAGAACGGCGGGGTGTCGTCAAGTGGATGGCTCGGCGGGTGGTTCGGTAAGGGCGGGTCGGGGAGCGCACCCACGGCGGAGGGCTCTTCACCGTCCACAACATCATCAAAATGAGCTGCCTTTCGCTGGGTTGGGTGGGGTTGACGATGATGGATATCCGGTTGGTAGCATACATTAGGAATACACGTAGACCTCTCCTCTCGTGACACACGCGCGACAGCTCTGTGCTCCTGTATACTAGGTCCCCGTCCCATATCGACGCACATCTGCATCGCATCCTGTTCCCCGTCCTTGGGAACCTGCAAAAGAGGAAGATGTTTGCGGGTGTTCCGGGGGAGCATTTGGTTTGAGCGTTCCTGCACGGAAGCGGCTACTGTATATCAGCAAGAGGATTCAGCATGGGGACGCGGTGCATACCAGCTTCTGGCACGCAGCCATGGTGTGTGGTAGACTCCGACATTTCAGGCGTCTGGTTGCGGCGCACGCTAACCACCGTGGAGCGTTGAGATGAAGACGATCTCGTCGCCTTCCTTTAGTTGATACTCGCCCTCGCCTTCGAGCTCCCAGTCCGCGTCGTTCACCAGGACAAGGATCCCAGGTCGCCTGGCATTGAACCAATCCGTGAGCCATCAGTCGCAAGAAGACAACAAGGAACGTACACAGTCCCGTTCTCCACAAATAGCTCCGCGCGCTCCTTCAGCAGGTTGTCCTTCAGCCAATGTATGAGATAGGTGAGATCGGCGGGTTTCTTTGGCGCATCATCGTCGGTCGAGGGAGAGGCAGGTACGAGAGCCGGGATGGTAACGCGGTGCGATCGTTCGTTTGAAAAGAGCAATTCCAGGCCGCCTCCAAACTCGACCTTTACCGCGAGTGTCGACATCTTCGAGTGTGGATAGTTATAAGCGGTAGCGGCAGGACCTCAAGGTGGCGGCGGTAGAAAGCAATGAATGGGCGCTTGATGTAGTGTCATTGGACGAATGGGCGCTTCTGGCCTCGAGGCTCTGAATCGCTCACGTGCACGCTGCACCGGAAGACAAACTCTTGACATTGTACAGATTTACTTATCTTGCTACTCAGGTCAACTGAGTTATAGCGCAATTATACTTGCCCGCAATAACAACGCTTTGTTCTGATTATCTGCAGGATACTGTCCGATTTGTCGAAAGGTGCGATGCAAAGAAGACCCCTTCGCCGCCCGCCTAGCTCAATCGGATAGAGCGTCAGACTCTTACAGGCGGATGCGTTTGACACCCCCTGCAGGGTTATCTGAAGGCTGCGAGTTCGACCCTCGCGGTGGGCTACGAGGAAAGACCCCCGGCGAACTTTTTTTCTCAACCAGGGACTCCCGGAGCAGGACCTTGAGCCACACCGGCAATATAACTGAGATAGAGTTTTTGCAGATCCAGATCCGATCGCTAGCGCGTGTACAATACTCCAGCCCGCTCCGACTCGTCCGAATCTTTGTTCACACCGCTGCGTCGCTGCTCAGTCTGCTAATTACCACTGCCAGTAACGTTGTGCTGTTTTCCGTTACTGTACAACTGCAATATTGGAACCATCTTCGTCTCTGCACAAGGCGCTTTAACTCCCGGTTCTTCGCGATGCCACTGGAGTTGAATGGTTACACGGCCCATGTCTGCTACGACGGGAAGGAGCTCACCATGTACGACGTCAAGCAGGAGGATGGAAAGACTGTTTCCTGTTGGATCCCGAGCGAAAAAGACAAAGTCTGTTGATTGCACCTTTCTAGCGCGTCACCGTCCTCACTCCAACGTTGCCATTCTATCAGGCATTCACAGTGCACTATGGGGATATGCTTTCGAAGGCCGTAATGACAGTACAAACGTGCATAGACGGCCAGCTCGCGAGAAGTGCAGCGTATGTATCTAAGCGGGAGGGCTCCTGCGAGGGCCAGTACGATCGCGATAATCGGTGCCGGCCGTTTATATTTTCCCCCTTGGTGGTCACAGGTTTGCTCTTCTTCCCGAACAAAGCAGGTTATGTCGATGGCTCATAGTAATTCACTCAGATGACGAAACAGCTGCGTCACCCAAGCAAAAGCTAGACGCGGGTTTTGGCACGATTCAAGTCAAGATGATCCGCGTCAAGCAGTTTATCAGGTCAGGCGGGACATCCAGACTCTCACTGGATGACATAGGTGTTGGACCCGTACACGAGACAAGCAAGAAGGCAGGAGTTCATACAGTCTCGTAAGTTGCTCAACAAGGCGGCTAGACCTCTTAGCTAAACATACCTGCGTGTGCCTGGTACGCCGCACTTGCACCAGATTGGGAGAGCCTATGGAGCGCTCTTCCGCCCAACCTGTTGCATACTACGATGCGATCGGTAGAGAGAAGCACCCCTTTGCCACATTCATTTTTCGCTACCGGCCTTTAGGTACGTTGTCTACAATGGCCTTGACGTGCCATTCCTAACCATACCCAGAGCTTTTGAAAGCTAATGGCATCGTTCCTCGCCCACCGAAGGCCACGAAGAAACGACCCTTGGAATCCCAAAGCGAACTTGAGAGTGGCAGCGCAACAAGCGCCCGCAAGAAGCAGCGCGAAGACGTAGACGACGAGAAGGTTAAAGCTGAGCCCGCCAGCGATGTCGAGGACGAAGAGGCAGATGATCTGACTTTCCTCGAGGTATGTCAAGACCCATCGCTTTCTGCACAATTCGCTCCTGACGCTTTTGTAGGAACAGCTGGAGATGATGCAGCGACGCGTTGAGGAGAAGAGGGCGGCACGGCGAGCGAAGGTCATCGTCAAGCGGGAGCCCTCTCCGATACGCGTCCCGCCCTCTGGCAATGAGGTGATTGACCTCACTTGACCTCAGGACACGTTCGTTGCCGCCGCTGAGTTACTGTCTTGTATACCTACTGCGTTGTTTCTTGCTCGGTTGATCTCCCGTTGTTATAACAGAGTGGTGCCAGGGGATCGCTGAATATCACTCGATCCTCGTTTGAACGGACACGCCCAGATCATGTCACGATGAGCCTCGGCCTCACAAGATAGGAATTCATTCGTTCCAAGCTCAAGTTCAGGGACACCGACAACGAAGAGGCAGTTTTGTCGGCCTTTGCTTTAGAATACGTGAGGTGCGACGATCTCATGCATTGCGACCTACCGCACACAACCCTCATGACTGACGACCCTCATGACAGGAGTACTAGTAGATGCCGCGACTGTTTGTGGCATCCGGTACCACGCTTCAGAGAACGCCAAGATGTCCTTTCCGGGCGCTGAGGCGACACTGATACTATCTGCCTCCGTTCGTAGCCATACAAAGCAATCGCCGCATGCGCAGAACGAGGCTGTTCGCGCTTACTTCGGAGGCAGACCATGCACAAAATGGAAACATTTCGTACGATGGCACAGGAGGCGAAACTGCCGCCCGCCGATCTGCTGTGTTGTTCTACCGCGCGTACCTGGCATTGTCTGTAGGAAGGCCTCACGATGACCTCCGCTTCGCATGGGCGGCGGGCGCTACTGCTCGCGTTTGCGTCAGTGTCAGATTCCACGCGCTGGTCATGCGGAATATGGGCGCGGAGTTGTGCACCCTTGGTGGGTGCAGGTGTGGCGGTGTCTTCGAGCGGTGCAGTAGAGCGCAGTGACATTGCAGCACCTTTGTCGGATGCAAGCCAGAGCCTGCTCTGCACAGGCCGCTTCGTCTCACCAGCGCGGCGACGATGGGCGGCCTGCGGTGCCTCCATCAGCGGAAGAGCTGAGACGAGACATGGGCAGTGGGACGCTGCGTCGTCCGAGGACTCGCCTAATCGTTTGTTCCACAGTCGAACGTCGCGAGTCGCAACGATGCTCACTGCACGCTTTTGCGTATAAAAGGGCTCGAAGTTCTTCACATCACTTCATCAACAACACCGTCTCTCGCACTCCGCAGAACGTCTTCATCCATCACCAGCCGATCTCCCTCCCCATCCTTCCAGTGTCGTGCTCAGGACATCCAACGTATGTGAACAACCCATCTTACGCACCGACGCGCATACTCACCGTCGATCCACACAGCACAATCATGCGTTACTCTCTCGCCTCCTTCATCGTGGCCTCCGCAGCCCTCATCGCCGTCCTCCCCTCCACGCTCGCCGCCGACTGCTACAGCCAAGGCGGCTGCCAGCAGTGCGAGAGCCGTGCGAGCATGGAGTCCGCCAAGCAGACCTTCTGCGGGAGCAACGACTGGAACATCCCGGGCGGGTTCGGGTTCGACTGGTTCAAGGGCCGGGTGCTGCTGCAGGGCACGTTCGCGACGTCGCAGGAGTGCTTCGACGGCTTCGAGAACATCCTCGAGCAGTGCTACGGGAACAAGAACGGCGGCACGTACGACTACAGCTTCAACGGGCACACTGCGCACCTCGACGTCGACTTCTGCAACTGCAATTAGTGGGGCGGTTGGCCGTTTCGGAGACGGAGGGCTCTTGGGGACGCACCCGAGTAGTGATGGCAAGGGAATCTGTAACGTATACGCAGGGGATCTCGATGCGCTCCTCGGCAAGACACAAGGCTGCCTTATATTAAATGTCCAAGCAACAACTTCCGACGACACAGGGTACAACTGCGGAGTCGCGTTGTATACTTGACGAGGAAGTACTGACGAAACAGTGTGAGCGGGGCCCTTCGCATAATCATCGCCTGCATGTCAAGCAAGCTGAACTGCGTGCGGCGTGCGTAGCAGTATCTATCACTCTAAGGATGGTGAGTAGTAAGTAGGTTAATTATCAAGTTTTGTGGAACATTGCGTGACTAGATATATCGCAAGGGGGCCTAGGTATATAGATTGACAACTTCAGTTCTTCAGCTTTTCTAGCGGCATCCACGCATTGTGCATCGTGCGCAATGCTGAGGCCGACTCAAAACAAGAGTCACTCTGGGCTGGGTGAGCTCTGCATGGTACTGTTGCATCTTGCCGAGCTGAGTAGCCGGCCCGCTGACCATCTCGGTGTTCGCCGAGACACCATTACCCGAGCTAGGATCTGCGGTCGTCAAGAAGCCAGCTCATCAGAGGCCAGCGACCACAACCATATGATCTCTTTCGCCGCTGTTAATCATCTCGTTTGAATGGCAAACCCTCAAGAACTCGCAATTCTATCCCAGTGCGAACCCGACGAGAGCGGCCTTCCTGGAAGCTCCAAGTACACCCAACGTGCGCAAGAGGCGCAAGCCGCACGCGCAGTAGGTCACTTCTGGCCATCTGATGTATCGCTGCTCAAACATTCCGTCGTACCTTTTGACAGAAATGGCGAAGACTGTTTGCAACGTATGGTCCGGTGGAAAAACTCAATAGAAAACATCTCGCTTCAACTCGCAATCCACATCCGGAGAAGCGCCTATATGGCTGGGCACATCCGTTCGAGTTCGTCGAACGGTATGCCAACCAGAACAAGCTCCCGATTCGTCTCCCTAAGCATCTTGCCAAGAAATATGGCAAGAAGGTCCTGATATGCGGTCAACTGACGGAAATCGAGGCCAAGGACCCGGAGATGAAAGAGTTAGTGAAGGATAGCATCGTGGACGTAGTCCTCGATCATGTCCGGAAGCTCGCCGGCGTCTCGATCAAATACGAGTTTGTCTACAGTGGGGAAAATCATGGGATCTTCGTGTTATACGACAACTATAACATGGCTGAACGACTGGCGACGATCGCGGGGCTCAAGCTCAACCATGACGATGTGGTCGCAAAGGTCCAGAGTGCTCTGGCGAGTTGCGACAACACAATCAAGCCGCTGTGGTGGTATGACAGGTCGTTGATGCTGAGGAAGGTACGTGTCATCAGATCCCTCTCGAGTGCCTTGTAGTAAGAGGCTGACTTGTACATGCTTTGGTAGAATCTCCATACACCGCTTTGAGCATGTCCCGCCGGTTTGGTTTTACCAGATTCCCTTGTCCTTTTCAGGCATAGTATGTATCTCAATGAACGTAGTATGGTTCTACTCCTCACATATCACAATCGGTGTGTTTCATCCCGGACGACGGCATACCATGCCATGATCTTCAGGAAAGTAACGTTCTGTACGTCGGCAAGTGGCAAGGAACGATATTGTCACAGCCTCGGGGCAGGACACTGCCAGGCGTGACGGCGCTCGTTGGCCTCGAGGGCTTTGCAGCTTTCGAGCATGGCCAGCATTCGAGGCTAGGCCAGCGTATGAGTTGCGCGGGAACCGTACATGTCGGATGAGAAGTACTACTACCCGAGTCTCTAGCTTTATGGCGTTGCGCACATGGCCACGCACCGTGAACCAACGCGGTCATCAGCAAAAACGCACCAGCCACCTCAAGGATTCCGGCA